AGACGAGGGTTAGTAATAAAAACCTCAGTCTCATGTGCGCCAGTATAAAAAGCTAATGATAGGAAAAATCCAATCACAATCTGCAGCGCCTCAGTTTCAGACTACATATATCAGTGGCGATCTAACCAAATCCGGAAAGGTCTGGGAGTTAAAGTCGGCAGGAACCGCTTGTTAAAAATCACCTTCATCACCATCCTCCTCGTCGGCTCGCTCCGTTTTAGCTTTCAGCAAGATATGCATTAGCTGGGCAAACATATCATCCGTATCTGGACTCGGGCTTCGGATCGCTGATACTATTTCAGCAAATTTGATATTGCTAGTACCATGCACCTGGAAACATTTATTTGCTCGTGAAAGACAACAGCCCATTTCCTTTCTCTTTCAACTAAATATTAAGCCTTTTATCAAAACTGATAAGGATGTACTGTACCTCTCTGATTGGTAACAGTTCTGCGAAACTTTGAAAAAACTGGAATATAAACAAGTGATCGCCGAAGTCATCATCGGACATCCAGATCGGAAGTCGCAGCGGCGCATATTCTGGCAAAGGCTGAAACAGATCAAATCCAGTGCCTTGTGAAATCTTTTTGAAGTTTTTCTGATAAACTAAATGGGGAGCAAAATCAGAGAGGATGTAAAAAGTGTCTGAAATCTCCACTGATAAAGTACTTAACCCCGTTTACGCAGTACAATATATTCCCGGTCCAGAAAAACAAAGTTGTTCAGCAGAATTTCAACAAAACGTGCATTCAAAAATTACAATCGATGTTCGTGACGTAAGAAAACAGATCGAATAGATCAGAAATAAAAAAAAAAACGCTAGTGCTAAAAAGGCTAATAAAAGGGCTAATAAAAAGTCTAACATGATTTTACAAAAATCGTTGGATTTACCTGGAGATCATCACAAGCCACATCATCTCTCGGCTTTTTCCACTCTAACAATGCTTCCTTCTCGCGCTGTTTCGCAAGGCGTTTTTCTTCGCGGATCTAAAATGATAAAAATTAAGCTGGGCCATTTTAGCATTCAATTCAAACGACCTTTGAATTTTCCTTTGAATTTTCAAAATAGAAAATCGGACATCGTTATTGATTGAGATTATTATTACTAGTGATGATATCATCAACAGAATCTCAATTAAAATTAGCACACTGCGTACCAGTTTTCGTAAAGCGGCGCATTACTGGCGCTATTTGATTCCCACCTTTTCTTTAGTCTGTCGTATCAGCTGTTTTAGTTCCACAATTTCGGCTCCTGTCAACAGACGCTCGTCCTGCTCCCAGCGTGACAGATCATCGATGCTTAGTTTTCGAGCCTGCTCAAACAAACCCTCCAATTCCTCCTGCTGCTGCGCTATCTGAACAGTATGAACATATGACAAGACAAATTACAACCGAGAACATTTAACAGTAATGTCTAAAAGGTAGTGACAAATCTTTTTGAAAGTCAGAAAATGGACAGCTCCCACGCTTCCCCCCTTTCCGCCCCCTCCTCCCCTCAAGAGCAATGGGAGTTGTCCGTAACACGCTAAAAATTAAGCTTCGGCAAAGGATACTCTAAAATTCATAATACATGCACCACTGGCATATTAGCAAGGCCGATTTCTTCACAGTTTCGACAGTCTGCCTTTCTCCCTATTTCTTTTTTTTGTTATTCCCTCTACACCAACATAGCTAGTGCCACACTCAGAGCTTAATAAGCTCGCGTTCGCCAGTAGCAATTAAACGAAGCAATGAACCAACAAAAACTAATTTCCCAAATCGCAACTTCAAACTCTAAATTAGCGGCGCGAAAAATGAACCAAACTACCTCATCACTTCGCAAAAGAAAAATATCCAAGATAAAAATAAGAGCAATAATGCTAAAAATTATGACAATACTAGCCCAGTAATAACAGCTAATAAATTTTACAGTAATTTAATTGGAAAATAATTTTCCTCAATAAATATAAGCAATGAGAATCCGTAATCGAAAAACAAACAAAAGAATTACCGCTCGTTTTTTCTTCTCATTTTTTATACTTTCCTTTTTCCTTCTTTTTTCTTCCTTCTTCTCCTCGATACTTTTGTTCTCCAAGTCTGTTTTCTTGGTCCGTTTCCGTTTTTTTTCTTTTTCTGTGATATTAACAAAATCAGCCTCATACTGCGCATCGAAATCATCCATGGTCTGCCCGTCTAAAACAATTCAATTTTAAGTCAAAAAAGCCGAAGCCTAGACAATCCGATATTTTAATCAAAGAATATTTGGCCCATATATTCTGATATTAAGTACAATCAATACATTTGTCACTAGACAGAAGCCACATCATTTTTTTCTAAAAAGCTCACACAAAGTATCAGGATAAAAGAATAACAAGAATTTAGGTATTCAAGAATTTGCGGACTTCTTATAGGGTGCCCTAAAAATTATTTTTCTC